TTTATTTTTTTTTTAATTTTTTCATTTATTTATTTGTGAGTCGGTAAATATATAGGATGTTGTTTCTTTGCAATGTGATTGATTTAAATCGTATAATTTACAGAAAAAATTAAATTCCGTTTTAAGAAGTAGTACAAATAGAAAGGATCTTTTGTTTGGGAAAAAAAAAAATAAACGCACATGTACCGATGTCCTTAGAGCTTCAAGATTCTGCATGTTTATGTAGTATGCAGCATGGGAAAAAGAGTATCCTTTAAGATATCAATCTAATTAAAATTAGATGTTAGATCCGCTCGCATACTCGCTACACTAACATCTAACAACATCCCATTGAGGGTCACGTCAGAGGTCAAATTCGGAACGGCTCTAGACTTATTCGCTTCAACAATATACGATGATTTTTGCCAGCGACGATTTAATTGGTTGATAGAATTTGACCTCTGACGTGACCCTCAATGGGATGTTGTTAGATGTTAGTGTAGCGAGTATGCGAGCGGATCTAACATCTAATTTTAATTAGATTGTTAAGATATTTACCGAGTTAATAGCATTGAGCTTCCCCCTCTTTCTATAAAAAGGGGCATCGCACTGCTAAATGACCGACATCTCTTGATAGAGAAAAAAAAATGAAAATAAAACCTACTATGGAGAATCAGTTGACTTAATATGAAGCTGTTCGTTGTTATATGTTTGGAAGCAAACATCTCTACTTCCTTGTTAGAAGAGACAATACTTGTTCATGACACGATGTTTATTAGCACATCAATGAGGTTTTTCTTATTTACATTCTGTTTTACCCATGGATATGGTAAGTTTGATTTAGTATGTAGAAAATGCTATAATATCCAATACTTGTGATATTCTGTTTAAATCAATTCATTTACTATTCGTTCTTAGTGTAATTATTTTATGTTGAATTATATTCAGAATTGAACATTGTAAAGTGGTCAGATTTGTCCAGATTATAAATGTTAACAATACTTATATTTCTTTTTTAATTCTAAACTAAAATAAAAAAAAAAGCATTATTAACAGGAAAACCTTTCAAAAAAAAAAAAAAAAAAAAGAAATATTTATATATTTTAAAATTTTTTCTATTGACTTTTTATTCTTTTAAAATTCATATTTTGACATATAAAGTGCATATAATCACTAGCAATACCAAAAGGTATATATTTTTTTTAATTCAATTTTTAAACCTATACAAAGCACATCCGGACCTTTGCACTATTTTAAAAGCAAAGAGCGGTCAAAAGAACATGTTGAGCTATTCAAACCGTATTTATTTAAATTGAGAGAAGAATTCTCGATATGAACGTTGACCAAACAGACAAATAATATAAATAATAATAATAATAATAAAAAATCAGCAAACAAATAAGAAAAAGAAATTAGAGAAAGACTATTTTGTATTTTATCTTCAGCTTATAGTTCTTCCGTGTTCCGTTTTCCGAGGTTGGATTTCCGTATCTTATAAATTCGTCAATAACTGTAAATTTTAACAAATAAAAGGCCTTTCCAATTATTTCCTGGACAATATTGTCGTGTTGTCAAACTGAATAGTTCAAGATATACTTAATGTATACCATAATATTAGTTATGAATATAAGTAATCAGTTTTTTTTCTTTTTTATGCCCTCTTAAACAAATTTTCGATTCGAGTGCATGTAGTTTTTATCATGTCCGCCCGTCTGTCGGTCTGTCTGTCTCTTTGTCTTCTTGTCCGCAAAATTTTAACCATGCCCATAACTTATGATTTATACAAATGATTGGTGATACCAAGAACTTTGACCCTTTGACCTTAACTTTGAAGAAGTAGCTTGACCTACTATCAAAATACAATCTTGATCATAATTTGTGAAGGGTAAAGACTAGGTTTGCTTCATTTTATACTTCACATGTCTAATACCTGTGACAGGACCTTTCCTTTGATATCAAGAATCTTGGCCCTTTGACCTTAAAGTTTGACCAAGTTTTACAAATAAATACAAACTTTTACTTTGGTCCTAACTTTTAAACGGTAGAAACTAGGAATTTCAAAATTTAAATATCAACTTTTTGTAGCAAGACCTTTGATTTGAAGTCAAAAATTTTGACCTTGTGACATAGAGCTTGGATATTTCCGTACTTACGAAAATTCTTAATTTTGGCTACAAAGAACTATATGCGGTATATTGCATATGTTTGCCCCCACAAAAGTCAAATTTTGAAAACTTCCTGAAATGTGCTGAATTCAATAAATTGTACGAGAAATATAAGTTAACAGAAAATATTATAGTTCCAGAGCAGTGTATTCACAATTTCTGTTTTTATGACGTCACAAACTAGTCCGATTTTATATCCTTTTTCAGAAAGAGGACAAAATGGACAAAATTTCAACAATTTAAGCTTTAAAATTTATAGAGCGCATGTGTGTTCAGGAACAATATTGACATATTTCATTGATATTATCATTCTACACATTATATCAAAATATTTATCCTGAACACACATGCGCTCGGTGACTTTTATTTAAAATATCGACGAAATATGTACATTTTTCTGCAAAATTCATAAAAAACTGAAATTTACGTCATATTTGTGACGTCATTACGTAAAAATGACGTCATAACTTATGAAATTATTCAGTGCTTTGAAGTCAGCATATACTCCCCTGTTTAAGGACTTAATTAAATATTACTCCATCAAAGTTTGATTTTGGGGGGCAAATGTTGGTTAATACCGCATATAGTTCTTTTAAACGGTAACAGCTAGGGCTTTCATAATTAACATATTTGAGATTGTCAAAAGATCTTCCATTGGATATCAGGACCTTGACCTTGGAGCGTGACCTACTTTTCACTAACTTTAACCTTGGCATATCTTTTGAACAGTAAGTTGTAGAGCTTTCATACTTCACATATGTAATCTTTGTGACAAGACATTTCATTCCATATCATTAACTTTGACCCTTTGAGCTTTACCTTGGCTTTTAACCTACTTTTTAAAAACTTTAAGTTTGACCATAACTTTTAAACGGTTTGGACCAGCGTTTTCATACTTCCAATATGTAATATCGAGACAAGGCCTATTTTTAAGAAACAAACAACCTTGTCCCTTTGATCTTTATCCCGAGGTTTTTCCTTCCTTTAAAATATTTAACCTTGGTCATAACCTTTGAACAGAAGGTGCTAGGGTTGTCTATTTCACATTTGTTTTTCTTGTGAAAAGGCCTTAATTGAGGTACCAACATATTTGATCTGCATATAAGAAAGCTTAAATATCACTATGTTGCCATACTGGGGGATCTGTGTTTTACAACCACATCTTTTTTTTTTGTCTTTGTGTTTGTGTGCTTTTTCGAACATAAGGTTTTTTTTAAATATAATCTTGGTCTGTAAAGGTATCCAATAGTACGCACTGATTAGTTTTGAAATGCTTTTTGATAAAGTGTTTTGATTGAAATAATTGTTTTCTGTATGAAACAAATCAAAACTGAATTAAAGCAACGTACGCTTATGATTTAATTCAGTGGACAAGTTTATAAGGTGTAAATTTTAACTGTGTGTATAATTTCGGAGACATTACAAGAAGCGGAAAATCCCTGTTAATTAATAATTAATTATAATAGCAAATTAATTAATCAGCTAAAGATAAAACGTGACGCTGTTTAAGACACTTTGACGTTATAATCTATGCGCCGTAAGGTGATACAACACATGGCATAAAATCACATTTTTTGTTTATTTACATGTGTATGCACTGCCCTATATTCTTCTGAAATTTGCTGTGTGCTTTACTAAAATATGTACTAAATAATAGTGAAAATTTCAGAACGCAGTGATGTTTATTTTTTTATACTAGACAACTTGTCCAATATTTTACGGGAAAACCCTCGTACATTTATTACAGAGTTTATAAAGAAAATTCAGTATTTGTCCACGAACTGATTGGGCAACCCTCGTAGTATTTTGGTTTCTCTCTTAGCGTATTTTTGGGTTATACAAAAAGTGTGAACATCCAAACACAAAGCTAAACTGCGTATGTCACCTTTCCGACGCCAAACAAATTTATGTCACTTTTAAATTATCAAAGTAAAATAAAAAAAAAAACGTTCTTTTTATACCGATCAAAGGGTTATGCTTTATGTAAATGTGATATAATCGTATTCTGATATCATGGTAATAATAAACGTTTGACTTTTAAATCTTTTTGTCGTACATTCTTTTATAGAATGACAAACCGTTTTTAATCGAATACTTGTTACTAGTTTTAAAACATACCATTTCAAAAAAATAGAGTAAGAAAGCATGCAACTGAAAATTAAATATTCATCCTTTTAAGTCTCCTATTTTCATATATTTTCTTCTTTAGATGTTTTAAGTAGATACCGTATACTAAAAATCTTCTTTTTCAGAAAACATAGCATTTTATTAAATGATAAGGGATTTTGGTGCTCTCTGATTGGTCTAGACGCCATTTACTGGTGTGTACCTCAGAGTAAGTTCACCTCAAATGACGTTCTGGGAGGTTTATTCGGGTTTTCCTTCTCGACCAACCATAGATTTGCTTACAGCTTTTTCGACCAATCAGATTGCGTGTTTCAAAGCATGTGTCGGTGTGAATGTAAACATGTCAGACGCCATTACCAAGGAGATTACGAACTTTTGAAAGTAAATGGTTGAGTATTTATTGTTTATTAATATTGTTTTTAACTTTTTAACAAATATTTGTTTAGCTGTTGAAGTATATCAACATGTAAAAAGTGTAATTACACTTTACATTATGGATGTTGATATTTGATGGAGACAAGAATGAAAGAGTCAGTGTTGTAAAATTCCTCATCATTTAATAAAACGGTTATTGACTTTTGAATTCGGTCTACTCGTGACTATACAGACCTGGTCAGGTATTGGTTAACCTCGGCCTTCGGCCTCGGTCAACCAATACCTGACCAGGTCTGTATAGTCACGAGTAGACCTCATCAAAAGTCAATAATTGTATAAAATAAACCCACATAACAATCACATCAGTATTACAGTGTTTTTAATGGTCCTGATACATACGACTCCAGTAATGCTGTTGATGGTCTGAAGAATGACCTCTCATCGGGTGGAGGACAATGTACTATTTCAGCTGATGGATACAGAACCGCCACCTGGTGGGTTAACCTGGAATCCATCCACAGTATACACGACATACGAATATATTACAGGACGGATAATGCACAATGGGGTAATGATGATATTTCTTTTTACTTATAATTTATTACATAACAAATATCTGATTGACATTTTTTTTCTTATTGGCCTAACATTGGTTGTACATTGAATAAAGAATACGCAGTAAGAATTCATTAAGAATTTTCTATGATGATACAGTTAATCCATACGCATTACAAGTACATTAAACAGGAAAAGAATAAATTGTAATCCATATAAAACACATTTTTAATGTTTTTGTTGTTTTGTTTTTGTTTGTCATCAATGGGCAGAAAAATTAATACAGAATATCGTTCTGTTTCAGATTTAATAGGGCAGGACACAATAGATAGGCCATTTTTTTTTTTTGGCTAAAATTCAATTTTTCTGAAACTTTCATATTTTGTTCTAGAAACAATTCTCTTTTTATATATGATATGAAAGAAATTCATTTACAAATTTTTGCGTACATAGTCTGAAATATGGCTTATCAGACCCTTGAAAGAAGATTGTGACATCGGCCTTTCCACTTAAAAATGATTCTTCTTTAATTATTATAAATTGGTCTTTTGTAAATTTGTGCAATTGTATTTATCAAGATAGTCTTTTTTGTTATTTTAACTCTGTAAATCATTTTGATACTTGACAATTCGAGAAAACTATTAAGTTAAAACATAGCATACATAGCATCGGAATTGAAAATTCACACTTCAATTTTCTTGAAAAAAAAAAACTTTTTTACAAAAAAATAGTCAGAATGATTCAAATGCGTCTCATAATAAAATGTGTAATAAAATGTGTAAAAATAAAAAAAAGATTGAACCGGTGTTAATTTCAGATATTGTCCTTGACCTTTTTAGTACAATTGGAATGAAGACTTTTTTACACAGTTGTCTGAATATCAGCCCTATCTATTTATGGAACAAAAATTACACTGCCTTTTATATCAGATTGTTACACTCTTGTTTATTGCACCTAGTTAGTGTGATCTCACATTCCAAAGTATAACCTCCTAAGTGACCAATCTATTGGATTTTCTAATTTTTTCGCAAAATATGATGCAAACCTACCAAAACGTATTATTTTTCTGAAAAGAAATCATAGGTTGTTGTCAGTATAGTTATATCATTTTTTTCTTGCTCGTTTTAATACATTAAAATCCTCTGGTGTTTTGTCTGACCTTAAGGTACATTGATACTCTGATAAGAGAAATAACTCTTAATAACAAAAATGTCTGTTATTCCTTTAGAAAGTTGCGTCGCATGCTTGAAAAAATATTTTTAAAAATAGAATTAAAAATCCTGTTCCACGCGTGAAGAAATTCAATTTTCAATTCCAAAACTTTGTATATCCTCTATATATATTTATGATATGAAAGTGATAATTTGCAACAGTCTAAAAAAATGGTAAGTGAATATAAATTCTTGTTTTTCAATCATGTAAAATGTATCTACCAATCTTTTTAGTTAGAATTTAAGTCTGTAAATACCCTCTCACACTGCGAAAATTTGAATAGACAGTAATACGACTAATTAAACCATAATTTGTTTGAATTTCTTTCACCTTTTTCCATATATGTACACGCCCACGTAGAGTGCAAGAATATTTATACCTAGCAATGTGTATATAAAAAGAGAATTAAAACGAAGGGCATATAGTTTATAATGGTGAATGAAATCACGAAAAAAAAATTCTTGTTTATTACATCAAAATATCAATTTCATAATTTAATGTATTTGTAGGAAAACGCATTCAGAGTGATAGCAATCATTGGTGTAGAATTTTACCTTTGATGATTCTAATTCTTAAGGACTGGGCATCAATTCGTAAAAAAGTCCTAACGCGTAAGAATTTTAATCATCATATCAAAGTACTCTGAAGTACAGAGAGCCGGGCACCTTTACATAGTAGAATGAATTTCTTACAAAAATCAAATGTTTATATTGTATTTACACACAAATGACAAGAATATCCGATTAAAAAATCTGATGAAACTATCAATACAAATGAAAAGACACTGACAGTGAGTTTTCGATCCTAATAGGACGGTCCGATTTTGTCAGAATCAGAATTAATCTGCTACTGTAGCTGAATGTAAACAAACGGGCTAGTCTGGTTCCCTCTCCTGCTTTTCCTCGGATGTGTAGAGAACTACGATAACAATGATCATCAAAAATCCTTACGCAAATGAACTATGTTCTTTGACTTAAGACTAAAGTTTTCAAAGTCATTTCTACTAATGTTTATATATTGAAATTGAACTTTGTTTAATTTTTGTTGCTTTATTTAGCGTTTGTATTATCTAAAATGCGGTTGAGAGTAAGAACTATATTTTTACACGTAACTTTAAAATGGCGATTATGGGGATGACTTCCTGTCTGACATAGGATAGCATAAGCCGGCAATTGCTCTTTGAGCAATAAGCCCGGCTGAAAATCGTAAAAATGTACAACATTAAAATCCCCATTGAATGGTTATTAGAGATACTTAACAGGTGTGTAATATTCTTGGTATGTTTTTTGGGCCAAATCGAGCTAAGACTTAGCAATAAAATGCAAACTTCAATTCTCTTTGTTTTTGTCTATGATCACTGAAAATTTCACATTCTCTGTTACATGCTTTTTATAGAAAGTGCTCAAAGTGACCAGCTGAATATAACTTAATAGTAGAAATTCCCGCATCAAAAGTGACCTTATCAAAACAAATGTGTTTGGATGTTATCAGAGATCCGAGAATTTCTGGTAAATTCATTGCAAGAACTGGCGTCTTAATAAACTGATAATTTAATTCGACCAATACCGTTACAAAACAAGGAATCATCAAAGTATTTTGTACTTGTAAGGTCATTTAACAAGGTATAATAATTATTTTAAGAAGATAACTAAACCAAATCTGTTGTTTACATCTTCTTAGTATACTAGCATTTTATTGATTGGAATCTAAGCTGATCAACGTGATATAAATGGATAACATTCTTAATATGGGTGTAAAAAGGATTATAAATTAGAATTTTAATCTTTTTTTTTAAATTATATTCAATTTTTGGTATTATAGGTGCATCAAATGGCTACACAGCGAGATTTTTAGGATTCTCTCTTTTTATATCCAACACAACAAGCAGATATGGCGGTCACCATTGTTTCCATGACACAAACTTTAGCAGAGCCACGATACCAGCTGTCTTCGATATAAAGTGTCCTGTACATGGACAATACGTGATCTATTATAATGAGAGACCACAGACGTCACATAGTTTTTCCAGTGCATTGGTTGGATGGGCGCATAATGAATTGTGCGAAGTGGAAGTACATGGTAAGTTCAGGTGGCAAATAGTTTATACTAGGGATGGCAATCGATTACAGAATTGCTAATCGGTTAACCGCAAGACGTTCCGACCGATTAACCGGTTAGTCGTATCAAGATGTTCATTTTAGACATTTCTTCATATACACAAGAAGGCTACAAGACGAACTATAATTTTCATTCTGTTAATTATCTTGATAGGGATATTTTATGTGCATAAGAGTATATTTTATCTGAATTTCATTATACAAAAAAAAAAAGAAAAAAGCACGAATCTTGAGAATCAGACACGGATAAGTTTCCAACGCAGACGTGACAAAAGTTAATTTTGCATTGTCACCATAATAAAAATTCTCAATTTATTTACACTTTTTTTAATATACAATGTAAAATAATAGCTAACGTCAAATTATAGACATACTTATGTAAAGTGCTAAATGGCGATGTATTTACTATATCATTAAAAAAATCACATACAGGGCAGTCGGGGTAACAACATGATGTTTTAAAAATAGCAATTAACACTTTACAAACTGACCAATTACCTCGGGACATCAATCAGAAGAGCTATAAATACCTCCAAATTACTTAATTACAAAATATGTTTAAAAAGCTAAATGAACTTTAAATTAAATATAATCAATTTACATATATTTTTGTATTTTTTCCCCGACTAACCGATTACGGATTTTCTAACCGATTAGCATCGTTCCGACCGATTAATCGATTAACCGGTTAAGAATTGCCATCCCTAGTTTATACGAAGAATGCGAACAATATTTTGGAAAAATGACAGCCTACGTAATTGTGCATTTTGCAGGGCACACGTATGCGCTACAAATAATGTGAGAGAATTCACAAAACGCGCTAATATGTTCCTTTCATTTTAGAACTCATCTCATCTCTTGCTGGGACTTTTACTAACTTAACACCATCTTTTACAGGATGCAAAAAGCTTGGTGTCTATGGATCTAATTGTTCCATTAAATGTCCTGACCAAAATTGCCGTTTTTGTCATATAGAGACGGGAAACTGCCAAGGATGTCAACCCGGATATCAGGGCCATCGATGTACATTTCGTAAGGGAAGAATGCATCTTTTTAGGAATTTTCTTACTTTATTAAATAATTATAACATTGAAGGTCTGTTTAGTGCATATCTTAAATCATTCTTGTTTTGATATTCCAGAGGAAATCAATCATTTCAAAGTACAAAAAAACATTTCATTACCATTGTTATGATTTAAGTGATTCAAATGCTTACGGTACATGATGTCATACATTTTGTTCATCAGAGATCATCTTAGTACATACTGTCACATGTGAAAATATGTATTTGTGACGACAGTATCTATAAGAGGACAGGTACATATTGTCGCTAACGCAAGTGTACAGTTATCATTATTGAAATTGGTCGGCTACTTTCTCGCATATTGCAGAGATACCATTTTGAAAAATGAAATACTGACGATTGAATATACATGTATTTCATTCTGTTTAAGCTTTTTCATAGTAAGCTTTTCAAGTTTAATCTTATTCATTCAGGAGGGTTCAAATAACTTAACTCTTAATATACATTCCATTTTTTTTTTTATTTATCATTGTTTTTAATAGATTGATTCAATAGATTGAGTATTGAGAAAAACAAGTAGGTCAATTCAAATATTTGAGAAAAATATGATCATGATGAACTTAAGTCTTTTTCGGCCCTTGAGTAAAGATTATTGACAAAATGTAAAGAAATACAATTTTTCTTTGATATTTTTAGACAATTTTGATGTTTTAAGACATAAGAGATTATTTCAAAATAATTTTTTAATCTCATGATATTATATCTTTGAAAAATGTTATTTGGCTGGTGCGGGTTTGGAAAAGAAAACTTAATATCTCAGGAGAAATTATATGGGAAAAATACAAGCATTCGTCACAAAAAATGTAGCTTACATATTTTTTTTCCTTTGCGAAACTCTTTCATTTGGGCTTATTTCTGTAAAATAATAACACAGTATTGTCACTTTTTTTTCTTTCCATTTCTCTTTTATGGTATTTTACTACAGTAGATATTTTGCATCGATATTTGAATAAATTATTATGCATTTTAGATCCAATTGGTTCTAGCTACTTTATCAATTAAAAAAAATTATTTGCATTATGATTTGGTTTATTTTAGCGTGTCCACCCGGTTGGCATGGGAGGAACTGTTCTGATAAATGCAATAACTGTTAGAGATGTGACCAATTCACAGGACGATGTACGTCTCCGTGTCACGTAGGCTGGAAAGGACAATTTTGTACCGATGGTATAGAATGTCAACATTTAAAATAATGTTAAAATGACTTATTTTATTTCATCTTACCGGTCAATTTAACATACAAAAATCAATTACAGTTATTAATTTCGATAATATTTGTTTAGGATTTATCATTCTAATCTCTCAGAGGACAGGTTATCGCATGCTTTGCTACAATGAATACTTAGAAAAATGTGGTTTTCCTTTTCTTAATTCAAATATTTTCGCCTTTTTTGCGACTAGCTTGTGATGGGGGATGTTTGGACAGAATTGTGCAGAGAAATGTGGAGCGTGTCTGGAATATAAACAATGTAATCACATAAATGGATCATGCTCTGAAGGCTATGACGCTGGATTTACGGGAGAGTTCTGTAAAACTAGTACAAAGACATTCATATTTCCTGAATTCTTATTTTTGTATTTTTATTTTTTTTTTTTTTTGGTTTTTAAACATACACAATGTTTCGTTTATTTCGTCAATAAATGAACAATATCAACATATATATATCCTGGTTTACAATTTGTTTTGAAATTCTACTACAGAATGCTCAAGAGGAACCTATGGCAAGAACTGTGAAGATAAATGCAGTATTAATTGCGGTATACCCAATACATGTGACTGGCAAAATGGAAATTGTACTGGAGGATGTAAGCCTGGTTGGGAGCTCCCACAATGCACTATAGGTATAGTTATTGTTTCCTTTAAAAAGGTGAAGGTTATGTGGTGCCCTATTCCGGAAATACGTTTTCCGTTTTTGTCAGGTTCTTTTTGTTCACATTGTCATCCGCCATTTTTTCACGTTTTCATTTTCATCGTCATTTCATGTCCATCAATTCATGGTCATTTTTTCGTCTCACCACCATGTAAGTAATTAATTATTGTCACTCTTATATATTTTTGTGTTGTCAGGTGTATTTACTTTCGTTTTGTCGTGTTTGCATCAATTTTTCTCATAGTTTTGTCAGTAATGTGTTTCGCGACATGTAACTTGTATCGTCAGTGTTTATAGTTTTTGTATATCGTACTTTTTCTTTGTTTTCAGTTCTTACCATCATTGTTCCACCATCATGTCATCATGCCATTTCGAATACATCATCATTAAATATCATTGTGCGTTTATTCGTTATTTGCGATCGTGGAAAATATGTGGTTTATAGGCCTACTAGCTGCATGCCAGCATAGTAAGAAATGGTGATTCCTGACACCGGCCTATTGACTCTAGGACATTATGCTTACCTATAACCTAACCAAACTATATGGATTCGGATAAAGAGTCTAAAAGAGAACCAAGACAAAGGACGATGACAGGTAAAGGCCAAGAACAGTTTGAAATGTTCTATAATAAACATTTTGAGAAATACGAACATTGGAATGTAAAATTACACAAACTTATTCCAAAGTTAGTT